TATGCCAAAGTGCACTTGTGTAGTGAGGAAAAACGCAATGATTGTTTGGAGATTCGAATATTCTTGCTTTTTTACATTCTTGCTAGGAATTGTATGTTTTTTTTAAAGCTTTTTTTAAGACATTAGTTTTTTAAATGATATTGAAAATAGTCATAATTATGAAATTTCGATGGTCTAAAAACTTTTGATACCATAACCTTACTTAAAGCAATAATAACTATATCGTGATATAAGATTTTTGGTCATATCGCCCACCCGTGGATGTAAGGTTGTCTAGTTCAGGAGCTCTGTGTGAGACGTACTGTAGTGATGAACTGAGAAATTGCTCTGACCGCTGGTGAAGTGATGTTTGGACTGCAGTGTGTTTACTATACACTGTCTGTGGTCACGAGTGACTGGGCCGCAGGACCGCAGTCCCAGTCTGGCGGTTGGAGCTCTTTCCTGGAAGGAGAAGGAAAACAGTGATGTCAGTGTCTGTGAGGAGAGGTGGTCTGGCGTAAAATATCTCACAGGGGAGATGAAGAATGAGGATGAGGAAACGGCATTATATGACTGAAATATATCCATGCTCAGGATGTTTAGGCCTAGTTAAAGTGCTTAGTTAAACACAGTTTAGATGAAAAGTTATTTCTGTAAATATATGAAGAGTTCAGATGCAAAACCCTCTAAATCCGTCAGACTTATTTTCTTTAAATGAGCATTTTTTATCAGGCTCCTATGTTCACGTCCAGTAGTTATATTTTTAAGGTACTGATAAGGTTACTAGTCAGTGAATAAAATAACTTTTTTTTCAAAAATGTCACTTTAGTCAATTCAGTGATTTTTAACAAATTAGATTTTATTTTGCGTCAAAAACCTCTAAATCCACCTCTTTGGGATAAGATATAGTAAATAGCTGTATAATCACAAAAAATGTAACTAGAAACACTGAAAAAGATTAGAGCACATTAATTTCAAAACTAAACAGTAGACAAACCTCTTTACAGGGGGGCTGAATGAGATCTGCGATTATTTGCAGATCCCACCCCATTTCTCTGCAGTCACCTTTCTGCCCTGTCTGAATAAAGACAAAAGCCTCCCCGATTCACACAGTATAACCACATTGGCAAAAAAGAATTGGCGATTCAAATAGTGTAGTGTATAATCAAGTAGAACAGAGTAACATTCCACTGTACAGATTTTCTTTTGCCTTGTAACGGGAAGAGTTTTGAGGTAAACGACGTTTTCTTCTGCCATTTGATGTCAGTAGGACAGGCTCATTCATTTCATCGTACTCCATTTTAAAAATGTAAAAAATCTGAATCCAAAACAATCTCCTCAGCCGTCTCAAAAAATCCGTCTCCTCCGCGCGCCGCTCTATTGAAACAGCCTGTACTGATTCGCGCCTTCTGATTGGTTCTCGGGATGTAGCGGCTTTTGCTGCCAAAGGGAAGTGGCGTCTAGAGGCTTTTGCCGATAAACTGATATTTCTGAATGGGCTGAGGCTGAGATTTAGAGGATTTGAAGCAAATATATTTGTTGAACGTGTACTATGTTCAGATAGCTTTCACTCAATGTCATTATCTCATTTTTGACGGAGGTGGCGTTTAGAGGCTTTTGCATCTGAACTCTTCATATATATTCTTGTTTACTTTTCAGTTTCAAACTTTGGTCCACTTTACAGCTTCTGGTGAAAGACTGCTCATTCAGAATAGAAGAGATGTGTTTTTTAACCAGCATGTAAAGTGACGAAGCACTGTTTGTTTTGGGGTTTTTTTTTCCACAAGGGTCGATTGCACTATCACAGTGATGTTTTATATGTGAATTAATGCAGTAAAGCTAACATTAAAAAACAGTGAACTTTTGATATACTTGAAGTATTTAACGGTTAATTTATAGGTCAATTCAAGGTAATGTTTATTTCTAATCAATTAAATGTAAAAATAAAAAGTTGATTTGAACAAAAACAATAGTTTTTTAACCTAGATTTTTTTTTAAATGCTATAAATTGTTGTTAGCTGTAAGTTTGTGATACCTGATGCTTCTAATGTTAAACTTAATGTACAGTGTTTAACTAACCAATTAATTTTTTGTGTTGAGCGTCTGGGAGACTGGGAAACAATCTGTTCTTACTACTTTTGGATGGACAGAAATTCAGATTACAAAGCAGAATTTAAAGTTAACCGATAACTAGTTTTCTTGCAACTACGTGCTTCAAAATTGTAGCATTCAAAGATTTGATGCTATTAACCTGGCAAACTGTGACAAATCAAATTTTTCCTTGTATCTCCTTGATATTTCTTCCTTGTAACATGGCTTTGTTTTCCAGTGTATTAAGCTGGTTTCAGCCAGCTATTGGCATTTTTGTGTGCAGTATGCATCAGATGGTCTGTGAATGACCAAGGGACAAGGTTAGTTTATTCACTAGTCCATTTTAAGACTCTTGTTTTGCACTTAACTATTTCTCAGGTAACCACATACTAAAAGGGTATTCTTCATTGTACATATATTTGTGATGTGGTTGCCTTTGAACCCAGACTGCTCACTATAATTGTTTGCTATTCTGTTAATCTCGTGTTACTTGTACACCTGGTTATTTTGAGCAGGTTTGACAACGTCCTGGTCATTGTTCAAGTAATGGCACCAGGCCAGACTGTAAATAGGACACCTATGCATATCTGTAGTTCATGTGATTCTCCTCTAGAAGAAACACCACCTCCATGTTTATCTACAATCAGGTTCCTGCATCTACAGCCCCTGATAACTTGTATCCGGCTGTGGCATCAAACAGATCTTAGGTCAGCGTTTCATCTTTATCAGTCTTGCCCGGTTATTGCTTTCTACCTTCACATGGACACTAGCTCACTTTGTGCACTTCACGTGTTTTGTCTTAATCAGCTTACTCTTGTTCTTCACCTGCCAGGAAGGTGAAGAACAGTTTGTTTCTGTCCTCGCTTTGCACGCCTGGTAAGCCCGATTTGGATCCTAAGAGCCAGGGATCCATGCTGAGCTACTTACCCAGGTGCCAAGGCCTGCTGACTGGGAGTGCTGCTTCCTCTGGATGTCTCTTCTAGGGCCTTTACTGGAGAGTATAGCACCAGCTGTTCTGTGCTATTTTTAGGAGAGGTCTTTGAGTAGTACAGAATGAAGGTCGGTTCAGAGGGCAAATGTTAAGTCGATAGTTAAGGATGCTCTAGTTGTTGTCAAAGACAGAGATTTGACTTCAGTATGCTAAAGGTGGGATATGTTATTTCTGCTGCGGGGCTGTTCGAAAACAGTGACTGAACTTGAAGATCACAACGTTTTTGGAAAGTGATTTTTGTTGGACTGCTAGCAATTTGTTGCCAAGGTGCAGTTTTGAGAGTATATTGTAGAGGTCAACTGATAAGGATTTTTCAAAGGCTAATGCGCTAATTCGGAGTGGTGATTGGCTGCTGTCACTGGAGGGTATGAGTCTGCATCATCAGTTTCTGAGCTTTTCTCTGCATTATTCATGGGAATAAACTCTTTTAATCCAATCACTGCGCTGTATTATGCATGAGATCGCATTACAGCAAAGAATTCAAATGTCACAAAAGATCGATACGGGACTGTTCGTTTACCTGCCGGTTCAGATTTGAGTTTGTTCATGTCGTAAGTGTGTGTTCCTCAGTACAGTAACACAAAAGTGTTGTTTGCATTTTCCCCATTTTCCAGTCAGAGCTGGATTTTGACCACCAACAATATGACCAAATATGACAATTGACCAAATATGACTGTAACAATATTTAATATGTAACAACACACGGATCAATTTCTACACGGAACGCCACGTTGAGTTTAGCAACGCGGATCATAGTTCATATCTGGACCGTTTTTTAAGTTTTTTTGGGACATGTATCATTTACAAGCACAGTGTATGCGCACATATTTCATCATGTCTTCTTCAAACGAAATATATATGTGCAAATAAACTGGTATGTCTGATTATGAACGCGATGACACAATGTATTCTGATACAAAGAAGACAATGATGTAGACTTATTATTTTATTATTATTATTAAACTGATGCGTGTGAGTTATTCAGAGATTTTAGCGCTCGTAAATGTAATGAAAGAATTATTAGACTTTTAAATGTTCTTCCTCATTTTTCATATAGACCAATAGCTCTGCAAAGTTATAATACTGATTTGTTGATATTTCTATGAATAATTTATCAAAACGTATTTGATTTGTTGTTAGTATTCTCTAATGATAAGATTTTTGAGTTTGTTGTCATAGGGTTATATTTACAAAATGCATCAAGGTTTTAATATTCATTTGTCTGAATAATGTGTTTTCAGAACTATGTTTTATTGGTTCCCTCTTCCCACCTTCTACACTCCCACTTTTCCACAGCTTTACACACCCATTTCTTCAGTGTTTTTCAAGTCTGCTGTGTGTGAATGATGAGAGCAAAAACTGGGGGGTTTGATGACACTTTTTAAAAACAGTAATCATTTAAAAACACCGTTAAATGTAATATTTACCAAATCTCAAATTGTAAGTCTTTCATATTTTCAGTTATAATACTGTGATGTGATGTCAAAACGGTTGCATTTAAGTGTTATTATTTAACATCACAATAATTATTGGCCTATTGTTATCTGCCAGAATTTTAATGTGTGTATCCATAGTGTTTTTTGGTGATTTTTAGTTATCGACTGATGCAGCTGTTCTTGAAATGTTGAAATAATTTAAATATTGGACAGTTAATCATTCTGTTATTAGTGTATTTTTATTTTTTAATGACCTTACACATAATTTTATAACTTTACACATATTTCATTTCATTTATTTTATTTATATAGCACAAATAAACACAACAGAAGTTGACCATTGTGCTTTACAAAACAAAAATCCAGGAAATATGAAATGAAGAGAAAAATACCATTGAGACATTGTAATAGAACCATAATTGAAATATGGATAATATTAGTGTAATGTGTTAACCTTTCACCTCTGCCACACTGAGTTAATCTTTGACCTCTGTGCTTTGCAGGTGATGTGTCTCCTATCAGCATGTCTCCCATCAGCCAATCCCAGTTTATACCACTGGGAGAAATCCTGTGCCTGGCCATCTCTGCCATGAACTCCGCCCGTAAGGCCGTCACGCAAGAGACTCTCATCGAACACCTAGCAACATGCTTCCCAGGTAACGTCCTTCAATAATAACATATAACATAAGTGCAGGAAATGTGGTTTTTCCTTCATATTTTTCACCTTTACAGGAGAACAGACCTGCTCTGTTATTTTCATGCTTCTTAAAGGAGGCTGGAAGCATCTGTAAATCTTACATGCTGAATCTGTTTTATAACGGTTCAGTGATTTTAGTTTCTTTAGTTTTTGCCAGTAACACCAGTCGTAACTGTTTACACAGCCATTTGCACATTATAATAGCCATATCCTGGAACATTTGGATAAAGTCTCATATTTAGAGTGCTATAAAGCATGATGTGGTCACAGCAGGGATATGGTACGTTTAACATCCGTTGTTATATGCTCTTATTGTAGAAACACAGCACAGGATAATGATGTTTTGCTGAAATTAGTGGTTGGATTAACCAATATTACAGAAATGTGTAATATTTTTTCAGAGGATGTGATACACACTCACAGTGAATCAACATTCTTAAGGCTTAAATTGTGATGCAGCTAAACGCAAGTATTTGATATTCTTATGCTGGTTTTAGAGGTATTTGAATATACTGTATCAGTGTACAAAACTACTTTGCCACAGCTGTATTTAGGTTATCTGAGGCTGTAGATGCAGGAACCTGATTGTAGATGAACATGGAGGTGGTGTTTCTACAAGACTCACTTGAATTGTAACTCAAACTGACCAATTCTAATGCCATTTTTGCTAAATCAAAGGCACTATTCAAGACGTTTAAATCAGGAGCCCTATATATCTTAATGCTCTCATGCTAGAAACAAGGGAAGATTGTGAAGTTAGTCCAAAAAATAATGCTGCATTAAAATCTTCGCAGTATTTAAGATTATTGGTTAATTTAATGTGGCTATATCATAGCAAGCGCATTGTGATTATTCATTGTATTGCCTAGCCCTAAATGTATTAGCACAGCCTTAATTGTTTTGTTACATGTCAGTCGTGTTGTGGTCAGATATGGCCAGTTTCAGCATCTCCGTAGTATGATGTTGATTATATCATGTGAGAGTGAGACTGAGTTAAAGGGATGCAGCAGATGCTGAGTCATCATAATGATCTCTGTGTTCCTTATGTTGGAGGCAGTGAGGTTGCTATAGATTCATGATCTCATCCTTTCAGCTCACACCCTAAACACAAAGGTTTTGAACCAGCTATACCTTTTGCACACCTAAACAAAGGTTTTGAACCAGCTATACTTTTTGCACACCTAAACCTCTCCTCTAGACCATAATACCAGTATCGAGAAGACAAGTCAGAGTCTGTGGTGTGTGTGTGTCACCAGGAGAATAGGGCACCTGAGTAGGTTTGGTTTGATTCAGCTTGTAAGGTTACATTGAACTGCTTTAAGTCACTTTAGATAAAAGCATCTGCCATATAAATACATATAAATGTAGGTATGCATCTGAGTGTGTGTATAGAAGTCTTATGGGAATAGTTTTGTTCTGTTAGAATAGAAAGAGAAAAGTGTGTTGGAGAGAGGCACATTGAATGTAAAAATAAAGCATACAGGCATCATTGAAATGTAATATGTTATTCCACAGAGCACATTTTCATATGACTCATGTAGCAGTCTGTTAATCTCAATGCATATGTTGCAGGGTAAAAAAATTCCCACATGAAGTTTCTGTTTTGGCTCAGGTGCAAATCCACTGATGTGTTTGTTTTGGAGAAAGCTGCTATTAGGAGGATGTTGCATGGATCCTGTTGTAAAAAAAAAGAAAAAGATTTTGTGAGGCACAAAGAATCGCATTATTACTGCTTGGTTTCTCATTTTTCGGAGGTCAAAGTCTGTTTGTTTGGAGAAAAAACACTTTTTTGACAAAGTAAAACATTGAGATGGAAACAGATTCTTTTGACAGTTTTTTTTTGTGTGTATTCTAAAGAGGAATAAAACTAGAGGGTTGAAGTTTAGTTGAGTTAAAAAAAATGTATCCTTTTTTTTGTAGCAGTGCTTCATTGTTCTTAATGAAAGGAAAATGATCTGTGGTTAGCTAAGGAAAATTCTAGGACTAGACTAATGTCTTAAAGTGTTAGTTCACCCAAAAATAACAAATGACACAAACACAAAATTTCTGTTATGGTTTTAGTTAGCTTAGTTAATACAAATGTGACGTTGTTAATTGTAACTATATATGGCAATGCAAGCACCACCTCGATTGCAAAAAAGGCTTACACTACAAGAGAAAGCAGCGGCCATGCGACGATTGAATACTAGTTGTGATTTGATTGATTCTTTTTTTTATAAAACTCTCTGAACTTATTCCCAGAACTTGGTTAGGAAGAATGGACATTTGTCTGGGTTGTTGCATCTTGAGATGCCCTTTTCTTTTTGTAGCGGTTTAATACATAAAAAATGTCTGTTGTGTTTAATATCACTTGAATGTAATGCATTATCAAGATCTTGAGGAGAACTTCTCAACTCAACAGCTCTAGGTCTTTAGAACCAAGGTGGATTTCTGCAATAAGTGATAGGCTGTTGTTCTCGATTGGATTAGACGTGTGTGTGTGTGGGGTGTGTTGTGTGTGTGTGTGCGTGTGTAAGGTTGAATTAGGATTGCACCTCGTTGACAGGGAAACTAAGCAGCAACTATGATGTAAGTACAGGCAACCCTACTCCGCCTCAGCGTTTACATATAGAAGTGCGCTGGACTACCAATGTACTGCAAATGACAACGCAGAACTGATACAGCGCTCAAATCTTTAACTCCATATATTGTCATATTTGGGGGCTTCTTTACTGTTTGAAAGAGTTCAGGAGTGGAAGAAATGCTCATGGAATGTTTCCCTTATAAAACTGTGACGTCACAAATATCTCGATTTGGACCACAGAAGTTTATGGCACAGACAGAGACATATACTGTAGTCTTGCCACCTGAAGCATGGACATTTGAATGGGGTGTTGCCTACTGTGTTTTAGCGGCAGTGGGGGGTGGGGGTGAAGGGGGGGGGGGGGGGGTGCAATTGCGTCACATTAGGCTGGTTTTAAGGACTCCATGATGTAATGGGTAGTAATGCCAGCAGAGGAGCAAAGCTCTGAAACCAGTCAACCAAGCACAGAAGACAGCCACCACTGCACCATGTCTATATGCAGCATTGAACACAGCCATACATATAGTATCAAACAGGACAGAATGAATGGAATTTTAATAAAAGGCCGTTTATTTTAGCTTTATTGAGAAATGAACATATATGCAGCTATAAGCACTCATGTTGTGATCCCGATCCGTTATATTGGACAATGTTGAGGAGATGAAATGAGAGGCAACCTTTGAGTAAAGCATAGTAAACATTATTATACATGAAAGAAGAATTGTAAGTGCTTGAAACAAAAAATTACAGCATGTGTTTTTAAATCCCATTATAAATCCCATAATATTGTCATTATGTGGAATCGCACCTTGTGATTCTTTGTTACAATCAGATTAGGCAAGGCAAGTTTATTTATATAGCACATTTCATACACAATGGTAATTCAAAGTGCTTTACATAGAAGCAATTAAAATAATCAAAACAAATAAGAATAATTAAAACAGTTTAGAATAAAAAAATAAAGTACAGTAAAAACAGTCGGACGGACAGTGGCACAGTGCTCATTCAGTAAATGCATAGCTAAACAGATGTGTTTTGAGTCTGGATTTGAAAGTGACTACTGTAGGAGCACATCTGATCTCTTCTGGAAGCTGGTTCCAGCTGCGGCTGGCATAATAGCTAAAAGCAGACTCTCCATGCTTAGAGTGAACCCTTGGTATTTCTAGCTGATGTGATCCTAATGATCTGAGTGATCTGTTTGGTTTATATTCAGTGAGCATATCTGCAATATATTGAGGTCCTAGGCCATTGAATGATTTATATACCAGTAATAATACTTTAAAATCAATCCTAAATGTAACTGGGAGCCAGTGTAGAGACCTGAGGACTGGTGTGATGTGTTCATATTTTCTGGTTCTGCTCAGGATCCTGGCAGCAGCGTTCTGTATGAGCTGCAACTGTCTTATGGTCTTTTTAGGAAGGCCAGTGAGGAGTCCATTACAATAATCCACCCTGCTGGTGATAAAAGCAGTCTTGATTGGAAACAAAGCATCTAATTCTTGCAATATTTTTCAGATGATAGTAAGCTGATTTAGTTATTGCTCTGACATGACTACTGAAACTAAGATCTGACTCTAGAGACACACCAAAATTCCTGACTTGATTTTTAGTTGTTAGACCCCTAGCGTCAAGGTATGCATTCGCCTTGAGAACTTCATCTTTGTTTCCAAACGCAATGACTTCAGTTTTGTCTTTGTTTAACTGAAGAAAGTTTTGGCACATCCAACCGTTGACTTCATCAATGCATTGGCACAGGGAGTCAATGGGGCTGTAGTCGTTAGGCGATAGGGCTAAGTAGAGCTGTGTGTCGTCTGCATAGCTGTGGTAAGAGATTCGGTTCTTTCTCATTATTTGGCTCATTGGGAGCATATATAGGTTGAACAGGAGTGGTGCAAGAATTGAGCCTTGAGGGACTCCGCATGTCATGGCCGTCCACTCAGACTTATGGTCTCCTATACTCACATAATAACCTCTCCCTTCTAAGTATGACCTGAACCATTTTAGGACTATCCCAGAAAGCCCCACCCAGTTTTCCAGCCTGTCAAGTAATATGTCGTGATCGACAGTGTCAAATGCAGCACTGAGGTCGAGTAGTACCAGCACTGATAATTTCCCTGTATCAGTATTTAAGCGAATATCGTTTATTATCTTTATGAGAGCTGTCTCTGTGCTGTGATGCGATCGGAAACCAGATTGAAAATTGTCAAAGTATCCATTCGAGATTAAGAATTTGTTCAGCTGATTGAAGACAACTTTTTCAATGATCTTGCCTATAAAAGGGAGATTTGAGATCGGTCTATAGTTGCTTAATATAGTCTTATCCAGATTGCTCTTTTTCAGGAGGGGCTTGACAACTGCAGTTTTCAGGGAGTTTGGAAAACTACCAGAAAGAAGTGAGGCATTAACCACTTTTAGGAGATCTGCTTCTAAACTGTTTAACACACTTTTGAAGAAAGATGGGGGAAGTGCGTCATAGGCGCAGGTTGATGTTTTAAGGTGCTGTACGGTTTCTTCCAAAATTTTGCCATCAATTTCTTCGAAAACAGACATAGTAACTACTTTCTCTGGTTGTGGTCTGATCTGTCTGACCCCAGTGCGGCTCAATGATGTGCTGATCACCTTTCTGATATTCTTAATTTTCTCAGAGAAGAAAGAAGCAAACTCACTGCACTTGCTGTCTGAGAGCATTTCGCTGGGAATCTGGCTTGGGGGGTTTGTCAGTCTCTCTACAGTAGCAAAAAGAGTGCGTGTGTTGTTTAAGTTGCTGTTTATAATATTTGAGAAGAAAGTCTGTCTAGCTTTGCCTAGTTCAATATTAAAAGCATGGATGCTGTCTTTATAGATGTTATAATGGACTACAAGTTTTGTCTTCCGCCACATGCGCTCTGTTTTTCTGCATGTTCTTTTCATATTTTGCACAGCTGTTAAGTTTCTCCAAGGTGCTTTTTGTCTACCACTCTTCCTGACTTTCACAGGAGCAATATAATCTATTACACCTTTAACCTTTGCGTTAAAAGAATCAAGGAGAAAATCAACAGAGTCAGCAGATATGCTTGGTTTTAAAGATATGGCCTTCATAAATAGCACACTAGTGTTCTCATTTAAGCATCTCTTCTTGACAGACACAGATCTAGCTTCAATGGCAGGAGAGATCAATATATCAAAGAAAATACAGAAATGATCAGATAGTGCTAGATCCATAATAACAATCGATGAGATGTTTAAACCCTTACTGATAAGTAAATCTAGAGTGTGTCCACGATTGTGTGTGGGTCCATGTACATGCTGAATCAGATCAAAAGTTTTTAAAACAGTTTTGATTTCTTTTGCCATATTTGTATCATTATCTATGTGAATGTTAAAATCTCCAGTAATAGCAAAACAGTCAAACTCTGAGGAAATTGTTGATAACAGTTCTGTAAAGTCCTCAGCAAAGGCTGGAGAGTATTTTGGAGGCCTGTAAATAATGATAAGTAAAATGCGTGGGGCACCTTTTAATACAATACCCAGATATTCAAAAGAGGGGTAGTTACCAAATGATGTTTGCTTACATTGATAGAAATCTTTAAAAAGAGCAGCTACTCCTCCACCTCTCTTACCCGCTCTGCAAACACTCATAAAAGTAAAGTTTGGAGGGGCTGTTTCATTGAGGACTGTTGAACTGCAGCTGTCTTCTAGCCAAGTTTCATTTAGAAGCATAAAATCCAGGTTGTATGTGGTTATTAAGTCATTGACTAGAAGTGATTTATTTTTAAGTGAGCGGATGTTTAATAGTGCTAACTTAACAGTCTTACTTTTTGTTACTTTTGTCTTAGTTTGGCGTGTAATAGGCACCAGATTAGATGGGTTTGCTGTACGGCTTTTGAAGGCCTTAGACTTTCTATCATGTAATCGAACAGCAATAGAGAAAGATACAGGCACACTGGGTTCTTTAAGATTATAGTATCAGTGTCAAATTAATATTGTTGGTGTCAAGGTATTTGTTTTGCCGTATTGGACTGATCATCTTCTGTCTCTTTTTCTGTCCGGTAGGCGTCCCCACTCCAAGTATGGAGATTCTGCGGCACACGCTCAACATGCTGGTCCGAGAGCGGAAGATCTACCCCACCCCGGAGGGTTACTTCATTGTCACCCAGCAGACATACTTCATCACGCCTTCCCTCATTAGAACTAATAGCAAGTGGTACCACCTAGATGAGAGGATACCAGATCGCATGCAGCAGCAGCAGCCATGTACCTCTCCTCACTCGGGTACCATGACACCCTCCACGTCCGGATGCGTCCGGGAAAGACCTCACCACAAGAACCATAGTGATTCCTACAACAACAGCTACCGGGAGGATCTAGCACACATACCTAGCACACATACCTCAACCTTACAGAGAAGGTCTAAGGAGCATAAAGAGGTTTCTCCTGTGTCTCCGCCCCCTCAGCAGCCATCAGAGAAGAGTAAGAGTGCGCTTAGTTTTCCATTTAAAACAGAGACAAACAGTAAACACAAAGATGGAAGCAGCAGCAGTGGGGAGAAGCAGTCTAAGAAGTTTGGACTGAAGCTCTTCAGGTTGAGCTTCAAGAAGGACAAGACGAAACATCTAGCCACGTTTTCCGCCCAGTTTCCACCTGAGGAGTGGCCACTGCGGGATGAGGAGACACCCACCACCGTTCCCAGAGAGGTGGAGATGGAGATCATCCGTCGGATCAACCCAGATCTTACGGTGGAGAACCTTGCTCGCCACACAGCCGTAATGAAGCGATTGGAGGAGGAGAAGGCTCAGAGGAACAAAGCAAACTCCTCGGCTCAGCAGAGTGCACGCAGCAAGAGGAGCCGCAGCCATCGAAAGACCCAGCAGGGCAAGGCCTCACGTTCCCATAGCAAAACACGAGTGTCCAGGGGGGATCCGTCTGAAGGATCCAACCTGGACATATCCTATGACCGGGATTACAGATTCTACAGCTCCTCGTTGGTACGTTCTCCACGCGAAACCATGATGTCCATGGAGCGGAATAGGGGGAAGTATATGGTCCACAGCAACCCCAATATTGTGGAGTCACACTTTACCACCGCTCCAGAATGGGATGTTTCTGGAGAACTGGCAAAGCGGCGGACAGAAATGCCATTCCCAGAACCCTCTAGGGCACAGTCACATTCCAAAGTCCACCGAAGTCATAGTCATACACAAGAGAGAAAGTCACGAAACGAGAGGTCGGACAAGGCCAAAGAAAGGTCACGCTCCATGGACAACTCCAAGGGACCTCTTGGTGGTCCATATTTAGGTGGCCCAGAGGACTTTGAGTGCAATCCCGATGACAGGAGTCGGTACTACACTGACGATGGTACTTTGAGGGCATCTGCGCAGGCGACCCACTATTCCCGCATCTTGCTCTCTGCTGCTAGATTACACTCTGACGTTTGTGTGCCTGATGTTGGAAGAGGATCCTCGGAGGATGCTGTGCTTTACCGGACGCTGGAGAAGAGTAAAAGCAGGGATAGTCTTCCTGCTTACAATGACCTGAAGTCTTGCTCTCCCAAAACACCTGTGGATGACTATTTCCAGTGCACTGCGGCAAATGAAGTCTCTCTCTCTGCCCCATCATCTCTTGTAAAACCCAGCCATGACTTCACGGATAGTGTCTGGAAGGGGATCTCCTCTGACCGACTGACACCTCATCTAACACCACCTCACCCTATAGAATATAAAGAGGAGACAGCCAAGGGACAAAATACTACTCCTATAGCGACAACGAGCCAAACTCCCGAGCATCTCCCCAATGAACGATTGTTGCACCAACACAATCCTGACTCAGGTGACTTGGACAACATGCCAGAGGTTTACAGCCAAGAGACTTTGTTTAAACCTCCAGACTACGTGGAGAGCAGCTTCTCAAGGCCAGGTACGATAGGTAGGTCCCCTCACACCAAGTCAGCGGAGGTCCTTGGGACTCAGGAGCATTTCGATAAACCTCTACCACTGACCGTGCCACCATCCTCGGCTCAGGAGCAGGCTTCATGCGCAGAAACCACCTTTGACTATTACAATGTGTCGGATGACGACTCGGAGGAGACTAGTCATAAGAACCGGGTGGAGCAGAAAGTTCTAGAAGAGGGAGGGACAATGCAATGGCTGCTGGAACGGGAAAAGGAGCGGGATTTGCAGCGGAAGTTTGAGAAGAACCTTACGTTTCTAAGTCCCAAGGAAGGTGAGGGGAACAACAGCCAAAAATCGGTCCATTCTACCCGATTGGACAGTATGGACTCCAGCAGTGTGACTGTGGACAGTGGATTTAATTCCCCACGGTAAGGCACTCAGGGCCACTTTAAGGGTTTGTTTCATTTGTTGTGTTGGCAATAGGGTGTGTCTTAAATGAGGCTTATGCTATTCTATGAATAGACATATCCTTTTTTTTAACTCAGTGTTAACTCACAAAACATTTAGGGTTTTTTGCTTTTTATAGTCATGACAAAATTCCTTAGAGCCTTAGTTTAATCCTAGTTGTGCAAACCTTACATTTTCTTATTTTGAGCAGCAATAACCACCTCTGTGAATGACATTAAGGCCAGAAACATACTCTATGCAAGTACAAAAACACCAGTGCTTGGCCAATGCATTGTAAGCATGCTGTCCTAGCTTGCATTCTTACATTTCTGTGGCGGTAACAAACCTCAGTAGTCTGATAGAGTTCAGTTAAAATGTCTGTGCCATTCAACCTGTGGGTCATATTTTAGATAACTAGCTATAAACATGTCAACAGTTTAACTAACATTAACTTGCAAGATACTGTAAAAACTTGTTCTTCCATGACAGTAGTTGACCTGAAATATAACTTCCCACTATAGTGGCCCTTGCAGAAGTGATGAGAATGAATTTTACACTACAAATTGCAACATTACATTACACATTTTGCAACGCTACGGTTCATACTTGCATAGAGTATTTTTGGGCTTAATGCTACTCTATGTATCAGGTTTTCACTAAAATGGGGGAGGCCCTAACATATGAGAGGTACCGAATACACCTTAATGTAGGTCAACCACTACCAGTTTTATAACTGCAATCTTTGAAAGGGTTTACACCATTTGTTTTTGTTTGCTTTTGTTTTAAACTGAATTGTTGAATGTTGTTTTTGGGTGCTCCTTTTTGTTATTTTTGTCTAAATGATCATCATGTTTGTATTGTAAGTGTTGCATTGTGTGTTCTCAAACAAAATCCATTGGGTTAATTGACATTGTTCTCAAAATGATCATGATATAATGGATACGCACATGTCTGTCACTTGATCTATTGATATGTTTGAGGCCTTACTTAAATAATAAATTGCCTTGAGCACATGATGCAACTTGTGCAACTTTATGTCCTGACATTATCCTTGTCCTCCCTTTCAACCTGCACCCAAACCCTTTGATCTCGTCTTCCAAATGTCTGAAACCTCTCATACTGCAAACTTCCATTAGACATTTTCATACTCCGATATTGCAGTGCAATATTATTGACTCCGAAAACACTTTAAAGTTGAGTGCAAAGTCTTTTTTGCAGGCAAAAATCCAACAATAAAAAAAGACTTATTGTCATCCAGAGTGATATAAAGAAGTTTGTGGCGTCCACTTGAGGAAATATACCATGCGTTTTAAAAATCAGACTTCTTGAACTGCTGAAATTGATGAAGTGGATATTTTCTGTCTGCGTTTAGAAAAAATGTGATTGGATAAAGAAAAACAAGCACTGTACTGTTACTCAGGTCACCCTGTGAGGCAGAGCGGGTTGAGTTCACTTCACTGAAGTGTCGGCGAAGCCCGCTCAGTGCCGAAAGCCTGATGAGACATTTCAAACATTTGAGGAACAAAATGTGCCCCCATGTTTTGTTTCGTTTTTTAATTGTGATATTTTTTTTGTTTTGTTTTGTTTTTCCCCAAATTAAAGTATGTTGTTTTTCATACAGTGGTTCAGTTGTAGTTTTTTACCTTGTGTTTGTGTGTATATTCGTTTTGTGCAGTTCCTTCCTGTGTTTTCATTCTCCCCTCTTCCATTTTGGTGGCAAGCCATGTTCAAAACATCATAGAAAAGGAAAACAGCATCTTTCAAACAGCAGTATGTCAAAAACAACTAAATTCCTGTTGGCAATGCAAATATTATTATATTAACCCTTTAATGGGTACACCCATAAAAAGGGATTTTTTTTTGTTTTGCATTTTGTAATCTATTGGGCCGATAATACATTTTTTATTATTATTATTTAACACATCCAACAGTATTTTGTAAGCCTCTAGCAAATGTATAGTTTTTTAATATATTTATCAATTTAAAAAGTTTATTATTGTACTACTAAAAACAAAATATACTGATGAAACATACAAAAAAATATAGATTTGCTAACTTCCAAATCTGACTGAGTTGGAACTATATAGCAGTGATTTATTCGAATGGGTTGAAATTTGATCATGATGTCTAATTTATGTGCTGGTTATTTAAAGCTGAATGAACTAGTTAGAGTTGGAGCTGAGCTGGATGTCACCTGAATGGGTTCCGCTTGCGTTTGATTGATTTAAATTTAGATTCCCCGTTTTAAATTTGAGCAGGAACATTTCAAATGGAGCAATTAATGTGGTCAGATGATTTTGTTTATACAACCTCTCTCATATAGTCCTGCATCTTACATTGGGCATGTTTGGGCTCTTTGAGAGAAACTTCTTTTGGCACGGGTGCTTTTAGTCAACATTTATAAATGTTCTGTTCTTTCAGGTTTGTATTCCTCATTTTATCATAGTCTTACTTTTTTTCTTGCTTCTGTACTGTCCTTTCTCTTTTCTGTTTTCCTTTATTATCATTTAGTGTCAGAGTTGGGCACAATTCTGAATGAAGTTTGAATTTAAAGTGAAGGTATTCAAAAAAAATTCAACATGATCACTCAATACATTGTTTGTAAAATAATTTGTTTTGTCGCAAACATTTATTTATTATAGCACTACTGTTAAACTTTTTGGGGTAAGTTTAAAAAATATATACTTTTATTCAGCAAGGATGCATGAAATTGATTAAAATTGACTGTAAAAGACATGTATAAATGTTACAAAACATTTCTATTACATAAATTTGCTTTACATTCTAAATTCATCAAATAATCTCATGGTTACCAGAAATTAATTGTAAGAAATTCAACAGTCACTCAGCAGGAATTGAATTATGACAAAACAGAAATGATTCATTTTGACAAATCTATTCCATGTTATGAATAAAAAAAAAAGTGTACTGGGTTATTATTGGACACTATTGGACTCTAAAATAAAAAATAAAATAAAAAATAAAATTACTACCAATAATTTTACTCTACGGTACCATAAGCAAGTCCATTGACAAGTCCATTGTCCACCGCAAGATATTGACAAGAACATTTGTGTTTGGCTCCATTTAGAATTTAATTCCCTTTTAATTCTGCTTTTTATAATCTCATTTGAATTCTACATCCTGTTTGCTTCAACTTCAAATTCTGGAGTTTATTTGGAAATGAAAAGGCATTCTCAGTTCAGTTCTGAATGGTGCACAACCCTGATCGGCACTAATAACGAGATTGTGATTGTTAGACTCTGATTAACCCCCATCCAACCTTTTTTCAGCGTGTTACTAATCCGTTTCAATCTTCTGCTTTCTTCATAACACTTGCATTCTCTTTCCCTTTCTGTCCTTCTGTACTGCTTCAGCACGCGGGAAAGCCTTGCTTCGAACACCTCGAGTAATGTGGAAAATAGCAGGCGTCAGAATATGGCTTTGAGTCCAGGACACATTGGCACCAAAAGACCCCCGCCGCCCTACCAGCCCCCCAGCTTCCGTACCATCCGTGAGCCGCCCGCCAACCGCACGGAGAAACAGGCCTCCATCACCAGCGTGTAGTGATGGGGACCGCTAAACTGAACTTCACCAGGACTGTTACAATCTTACAGGCAGGACCTTCTGAGCTCGTGTGACGCCTGTTCCAGCTGTCATTTCAAATAGAGACACGTTTCAGAAAACGCAGTTCATCATGATTCACTGGAGGTATCCACTTTTTTTGATATTTGTAACAAATACTGCTGTAGACAAACACGTCAGTTCATTAGGACTCGATTTACGCTGATCTGCGATCATGTTTGGGATGTAATCCTTGATCAAACTCATTTGTAGGTGTCCTTAATAGCTTAATGTATCCACTACGGGTCTTAACTGTCTTCTGATCCAAACTTGGCTGCGTTGCCTCTGCCTATTCGTTCATCGCTGTGTCTAGTGTTTCATTCTGTACGCTCAGGTCCCTCTGAACTCTACTGACTTACTGGCTCATATTTGCTGGCCGTAACTTGAAGGCCACGATAATCTGAACAAGCTCATCTGTTTTACTGCATCCTTGTGTATCGTCCACTGTCCTGGGATTTTTTATTTTTTTCTGGGATGTTTGTAGTTTATTGAAACTTAACAAAACATACCACCACCACCAAGGCATTATTTGTTTATATATAAAAAAAATACCAATTTAAATATTACTGGTGCTTTCTCAACGAATGGACCGTTATTCTTTTAAAAGGAAAAAAAAGTTTGAATCCATTTTCTTTTTTCGATTTTCTCTTTTTAACCAGGTGCTTAACTACTAGACGACACAGAATACACACATTGCTACCTCCACTATTTGTACAGTCGTAGAGGGAGACGAGAGTGACCCCCCCACCTTAGGTCCGCTGTATTAGACAAACCACTATCAGCTTGCAAACCGTGAATGTACTGCTAGTGCTTTTCAATCACATCTCGATCATAAAGCGTTAGTGTTCTCATGCTAATAGAGCCGAATCTCATTGTAACAGAGAGGAGACTTGTGTAGAGTTTGGAATCATATAGGACCCATATAGAGTGGATAATTTAGAACTTCATATCTCTGATATGTCCAGCCATGTTCAATTATTTGTTATTTATATATTTATTATTATTACTTTTTTCAGTTCTTTTAGTACACAAATTCATGGTAAGCATTAAAACAATATTTCACTGATTCTTGAGATGTGGGGCCAAACATGTCAATTTTATCTGGCGAATAGTTTTTAAAAAAGTATATAGAATATAAAATGTACTACCACTAATGTAAAAAAGATTAATGTTTATTCAGCAAGGATTAAATTGCTCAAAAGTGACAACAGACATTTATAATATTACAAAACATTTCTATTTCAAATAAGCAGCACAACTTCTTCAATAATGATAATAAAGATACACTATGTAACTTTTTATTTATTTATTTAAAATTAACTAAATTTAAACGAGTCAATTAGGGATGCACCGATATGAAAATTTTGGCCAATGCCAATAATTCTTTCTATTTAAGAAGCTGATAGCCAATATATTGGTCGCTAAATCCAAATTTTCTTATTGGGCCGAAAACGATAACATTAAAAATGAATATATATCGGCCGATACCGATATGGTGGCCAATATATATCGTGCATCCCTAGAGTCAATAAATCATCAATCCTTACTGCTTTTTGTCTCACCTGGATTCACTATGGTAAGCCTATCATAAGTGTTTATATTTTAGTCCAGTCAGGATGGTTTTTGCGGGAAACTGCGTACATACGTCACTTGTCCGTGCGTGTCTTGTCATATCATTAAATAGAGAAGTGTTTGACGCTTGTATGGTGTTGGAATGGCATAGGTTAGTTGTCACAATGAGTGAGAAAGGTCGAGAAGCTAAATCTCTAACCTCTGGAGAATCACCGCTGAACAGAGAAGAGTCTGCTGGCAAAAAGAGAACGTGACAGAGCTAGGAATAAAACCAGAATCAATCTTCGGGGATGGCGAGAACTGAGGGATTTAAAATGTTGTAAAAGTAATGTGGAGATTATGGTGTTTTTATTACTCAACAGGTGAGTATGGTATTTTACTGAACAGATCAATTGCCATATGTAGTTAATTGTAAAGCATTATCTATCGTGAAGGATTATATTCATCTGCACCGTCACGCAGAGCCGAAGCACAACCAAAACAATCTTCTTCCGCAAAATGCATGCAGTTAACCGCTAGAGGGGCAAAAGTTGCATAGTGTACCTTTTAAGAATTAAGAAATGTTTCCTGAGCACCAAATCAGCATATTAGAATGATTTCTAAAGGAGAATGCGACTCTGAATTGTAATAACAATATTACAGTTTTTATTATTTATTGAAAATTAATGTAGGTAATTATTCTTATTCCCTGACCATAATTTGCCAACTCCATTATACAGATTGTAATAAAATTGTATGGTATAGTTTAAGTCCTATTAGCAACCTAGTAGCAACACCAGAAAAATAAAGTGGCTACTGCCATTAAAACTTGTGTGGTTGTTTTGTCAACAAAATACGGTGTCATATTTTCTTCATTCTTAAACGGTTAGTTCACCCCAGAATTTAAATTCTGTCATTAATTACTCAACCTCATATCTTTCCAAACCCGCAAGACTTTTGTCTTGACAAGATCTTCGGAACACAAATAAAGATCTTTTTGATATAAACATTCATATAAACATATAAATATTAATCAACTCACACATCAGTTGTGGTAAACAGAAGCTCAAGCATGTTCGCTTCACGAAAATGAACCAATGAGGTTTGTTCTCGTGTTACGCATCACGTTTGAAAAGTGTTTATGTTCGCTGATCAGTGTTTAAATGTGAATAAAAGCCTAAATTTAATTTGTTCATCATATAAAGTCTCTCGAGATCAAGTCTCTTCAGAATATTTTTACTAAACCGCTCAATTTATATGGATTCGTTTCACAAACTCTTTATAAACTTTTTGAAGCGACAAAGTGGTAGTTGCGTAGCTGTCATGGAGGGACACAAAACTCTCAGATTTCATAAAAAAATATCCTCATTTGTGTTCCGAAGATGAATGAAAGTCTTAAGGGGTTTGAAATGACATGATGGTGAGTAATTAATGACAGAATTTGCATCCAACTATTTGTGAATATTTATAAATATTAATTTCAGATATGTATCAAAATATAAAATATGGACAAATCTAGAAAATTGACCTGTGAATGAGTTATATATATAAATGATTTATAAAAAAGCAACCAAGCCAAAGTAAATGCCTCTGAACACGTGCAAGTTAATACAAAATAATTATTTAATGCATAAACTTTAATGTTCTGTGCCCTGTTTTGTCCCAGTATTCAAGAATCAGTGATTTCTAAGTTTTGAAATAAGTTCTGAAATAAGTCTGAAAGAATATCTTTTTTTCTTTTGTGAAATGATGTTCACTGTTCCATTTAGTGAACATCTGTCATATTTTCGCGGAGTACGAGTCCCCTCATGAGTTCTAGAGGACTGTAAAATGTCACGCTCTCGAATAAATGGATAAACTGCAGCCAGGACTACCTTGTTATACCATTTTTGCACTAATGCCTGTTCTCTGGTGACTGTAAAAAGAAAAAGGAAAAAAAAAAAATCATCCGAATGGATGTTGTTTATAATGAACATATTTCATACGAAATACTGATAGTCCATGAAATGTCTTCCCTAAACATGATGGATTTCTTATGGTTCTCAATAACATTGTTCCTTATTGTGACATTATGTCATTCTGTAAGAGATGGCTATCTGTCAAGCTAAGTATAAAAACCTACAAGGGGGATTTTTTTTTTTTTTTTTTGGTAAAGTCTATAATATTTAAAATAAAAATCCCCATTTGTGTAGTTGTGCTGTTAAATGTTTTAGTGTACTAAATCCCTCCCTTGGGGATTGTGTAACTTTTTAAGACAATAAAATAACATGACATGTTTATAATTGTGTAATCTCTGTTGAGGTCAATGCCATGTACATTTTTTGGTGTCATGTAAATTGCAAAGCTTGAAGAATAATGTTCACATTGAGGTAAACTACCACTAATAACCACTAGAGAGCACTCAACAATCTCCAAAGCATTGCCCATTCCAGCTAACATGTGATATAAAATAATTCCTGCAAGGTTCAGGGTTGTACATCGTCAAATTAAGATGTCTGACTTTGGAAAGCAATGCAAAAAAGTTTTATCTTTCTCTTAAGATTTGCATGTTTTTCGCTTAGTTGGTTTTTATGCTCATTGTAATCCTCTAGGACTCAAATGTGCAACAATTCAAGTTCAACTTTTAACTCTGGTATACTTCATATGTTGTAAGAAACACTAGCTCAGTGTGTCAAAACAAATCAGAAACCTCTGAGGTTAACTGTAGTTCGCTTGCTTCATTTCCTGATGCGATTGCTTTCATCAAGGCTGCAAGGATGGCTGAAATTTAAGACTAATTTAAGCCTGAATATTTCTCGATTATTGAACTTACAAAAACATGGCAGTTATGACAGCGTGAAGCACAACGGACACATTTGGGAGTTTATTCAGCAATACAGGTTTGATAATGCATTAGAGATACAGCTGAGAGATTCATCTTTTCAAACACAAAACCTCAAAGAAATCTTTCAGTGTGTGTTTGGAAAAAGCGTCAGCAACTTTTTCCCATGCATCCAAATATGCTCAAAAATGAGGAAGATAAGGGGTAAAAAGAGCCACACTTACATTAACGGAATGATCACAATATACTGTGCAAATTCATAGTGTGCAAAATCTGGTTTCCAAGACTAGTAGCTTAAAAATATTCTGTAAAATGCACTCAGAAGTCTAAAATCCACTGTTGAAAATTGTTAATTGCTAATCTATTCAGCAGGGTTAAAAGAGAACATGACACAAGCTCAATTCAGTGTTTTTGGAATTAAAATAAAAGATATATAATTAAATACAGAATAACACAACTAAAGTAAAGCACAAAATATTGAACTAAATTATCTAAAATCACAACACGTTTAATGTTTGTATCAGTAACATGGTAAACAGTGTGCTGTTATCTTGTCCTTTGCTATTTGGTTATTTGCTGTGTCTGTAACATCACTGCACATGAGGATCTGAGGTAATGTATGTTAAATTCAGCTATTCTGAATGGAACGACTGATGACTAAAGCACATGACCTCAAGAGAAATACTTCACACATTTGAGCTACGGAGAATTATGTGCTTATATGGATGAAATATGTTCAGAATGTGTTTTACACTATTGTGTTCACAGGTCACATGATGAAAAACCTCTGTAAAGAATCATCACATGTTCATAACTGTTTTTAAATGTTTTTGTATCCATGCTCTTTTTGTGTGTGTGTGTGTGTGTGTGTGTGTGTGTGTGTGTGTGTGTGTGTGTGTGTGTGTGTGTGTGTGTGTGTGTGCGTGTGCACGCGTCTAATTCACAATTGCAGATGAGCACATCTTGTTGATTCCACACAGTCTGGATCCTCTGTACAGGTAATAGTAACCCTATAAAAGAAGTATAGGAAAGACTTTAACATTTCTGTGATAATAGACATTACATAGTTACTGGTTCTGGGTATTGACACAAATTTCACAATTCGATTCGATTTCGATTCACAAGCTTGCAATTCGATTCCGATTCAATATTGATTATTTTGGATATCAGGTACAATACATGGCAAATTTTCTCAAGTCAGTTGTAGCCTAGGCTTCATTAGCCTACTATAATATTGAAGGTAAAAATTAACTGATTTGTAGCTATACAAACACTTAAATTACACTTATTTATTTTTATAATAATAAAGTTATATGAAATATAAACATTTAAATGGTGGCTGTCATAAAAACTTGCCAGATTTATTCAAACATGCATTAAATATCGAAGAACATTAACAATTATAATGAATATGTAATATGGTGTATATATTTAGCAAAATGCTCCTCTTTAGAATTACTTTTTCTAGCTGACTAACGAGTTTATGGTCACATATGGTTTTTCTGAGGTAAATGTGACGTACATGACATTGTTTACAAGTTGTTTTACTGACGTCTTTCCACGGTTGAAACACTGATTGAGCGATTCCATGTGACATGATACGGATTTCGATAAGTTGTACTCTATCTTTTAACACACTTTCAGACGTTTATTCATGTTTATTTCGCGCTGTAACTGGTATTATTAAGGCAGAAGAGGAGATCATGTGCGCTCCGCGCAGCTGCTTCTCTTGAGCTGAGCCAGAGCGATCTCACGCCACAGCGCCAAAACGGTATTTATGTTTTTGAATTTCGTAAGCAAATGGACGTAATTATTTAGTATCAATAGTAACAAAGCACAAAGATTATTGCGATTTATTTGATGGGATGCGCGCTACAATGTTCCATTGATTCATCAAATGAAAACAGGATGACTAATCGATTCTTGAGATTTAAGAATCGATATCGGTTCGTAAAAATGAGAATCAATTAATATCGAGAAATCGATATTTTTTACCCAGCCCTAGATTACATTAAGTTATGAGCTGGACCAAATGTTTTCAAGAATAGTTATGTGATGATTTTGGCAGAAAGTCTACATGTTTAAGTAATGTTATATTCTAATGGCAAATCTAAAAACACAATTTTCAGATCCTTTTCCATTATTGATTTTCTAACAATCAAACTAAGTTAACATGTTAAAGTGCCCCTATTATGCTATTTTCAAGGCTCTTTATTTTGTTCAGGAGATCTCCTACATTAGGTTTACATGCATCTAAAGTAAAAAAAAAAAAAAAAACTTTATTTTCTCATAATATACACTGCAACATCACCTCTTTTCTCAGTGTTAGAAACGGTTTGATAAAGGAATTCGGTTTCTCTAAACCCAACCTTTCTGAAAGTCTGCTCCAATTGGTCAGATGATCCAGTCTGTTGTGATTGGTCTACCGCTTACAGCGCGTGTCAGAAACCAAACGCTGTATCTAAATGTCAGCTCCGGAGCTTCCTCAGCACTTGATACACAATGATACGACCAGTAAAGATGGCGTCAGTTTTACCGTATTAATTCAAGCGTGAGACCTCATCCTTTGGAAGTGCATGTAAAGTGGATTTGCTTTCACAGCTCAGAAAACGGCTTCTTCCCGACATGTCGACAACACAAACCAAACTCTTTTCTAAAACTGCAGTGTTTGAGGGGCAAAGTAGACATTATTGGGCAGCCAATGAAGACCATAGGCTGGCATTATGCAAACTTGTTACAACCCAACGTAGATTCGATCAGGAAGTAAGACTGGAATTACTGACGACTAGTTTCAGGCACTTCAGAATCGATTGTTTCTTTTAGGAGAAAATAACTTATTTATCGTGCACTTTGATCCTTAAAACTTTGCAGAGCTTTTACATTCACAACCAGTTATATTACACACTGCATGAAAGGTAATATTCGAAAAAGCATAATAGGGGCGCTTTGTAAACATCAGTAATGTTTTTTCCAGCATCAGTCAAGAATTAAATTCTACAGAGGCCATGCATCATTAAATGCATCATTTAATAATGATCTCTGCTATTTTCTTAATACATGGTATGTGCGACTGAGATTCAAGCAGAAATGATTTTTTTTGCACGTGTGATACTGCACATTCAGGTGATTTGTTTTTCATACCTGCTCTCCATAGTCCTCTCCCCAGCTGTTCTTGATGGCCCAGAATGGAGCGCCATTACCTGCACACAAAAGCAGAAAAATTATACTCTGCATCACTGTTGCCTGGTTCTACATAGCTGTAAATGGTATTATATCCAAGGTATTTTGAAATGGTAATTTGCAAAGCCTTGCCGTTAAACGCCTGAATTTCAGATATGTATCAGTACAAACCATTTAAATCATATACTCATATCGTATACTCACGTTGTCCGTATCCCACAAGCAGCACAGCATGATCAATCATCCAGGGGTTGCAGAAGATTTTTAGAGGATGAGACACTCCCTTTCTGTAAAACTAAAGGTATCAACAAAATTGTTTAAAAAGGGCACCTTCAGCAAGTAACCAGGTAAAACAGCAGTTTGTTTTTGTAGTACCTGACATCTATGCTTGAGTCTACATTAGCACCAGAAACATGTGCTTTTTAAAAAAAAAACTGTTTTCTTATAAATTATATCCCTCATTATTACATACTGTTGTATAGTATGCTGAAGTGTACAACAAACTTGTCCAGAACATTATTGGGCAATATATTTTCATTACATATTTATGCAAGCTAACAGTATAATTTTCCATTGTTCATTTGTGTTACCTGCATAGCAAAAGCATTGAGGGCAGCAGACACTGGACCATTCTCAGCCAGCCAAGCAGCAATGACTACAAGACATGAGAAGAATCAAGACATTTTAGATTAAAAGACAGACTGGAAACACACACTACTACTTTAAATGTTTGGGGTCAGTAAAAAAGTTTTTTTGTTGTTGAAGAAAATAATACTTTTATTCAGCAAAGATGCATTCAATTGACATGACAGTAAAGAAATGTATGTTACAAAAGATTTATTTTAAATAAATGCTGCTCTTTTTAATTTACTGTTCATCAAAGAATCCTGAAAAATATAATTTTTTCACACAGAAAAGCAGCACAACATTGATAATAATAATGAGCAGTAAATCAGCATATGAGACTGATTTCTGAAGGATCATGTGACACTGAAGACTAGAGTAATGATGCTGAAAATTCAGCTTTACATCACAGGAATAAGTGACATTTTAAAATAAATTCAAATTAAAAAGTTATATTAAATTGTAAAAATATTTTTGCAATATTTCTGTTTTACTGTAATTTATCAAAAATGCAGCCTTGGTGAGCAACATTAAAAAAAATCTTACAAACCCCACATTTTTGAACAGTAGTGTTTTTCCCTTTAAACACTGGGTGTGCTATAATTTTCCAATGGTACTGTATATTTACATTTAAGATTTGCTTATAGCTCAAATTTCTTTCCAAATGTTCTGATAAAATACATTTGATTATTTTTAATTTCCTGCTTTAATTCCTCTAGCGCAGGTATTTCCATCATCAGTGTGGTTTTAATGTTTTTAATTTAATTGTGTTTATTAACACATCTCTATTTTCATCTCTCTCGCTCACCGTTTTCATCGTTGGGCAGCTCAACAGAGTTGTTAATGTAGGCGGCCACCTTCCCTGTAGAGAAATCACAGCTCTGCTTGTGTCCTGTGTAGCTGTAGTCTGTTTCGGTCTCAAGACCTCCTTTAAGGGTGAAAAAGCACACTTATTTAGGACACGTTTACTCCTACAGATTCCCTGTAAGTTATTTGCCTTCTAGGGAATGACCTCCACTCCACTGTTATTTCTTACCAAGCTTCTCGATGGCTTCATACGCATTAGATGGCAGCCCACCTCCACATGCCTGGTCCAGCCTATCACAGTCCACTAATTCTGTTATGTAAAGAGGTGAGAGCAAACAAAGGAATTTAAACTCCCATTTAGAATAACACCCCCCTGTTTTATCTCATGTTATATATGGTGTTTGCTAAGGCAAGACATTCATCTGGCAGCATTTGTGATATGGACATTGACACCTCAAATCATGCAGCTTGTTGAGGAGAGGTTTGCTATTCCTTTTTGAACGGCAGTGTAGTACAGTATATATTTACCCTGCTCGGAGAGGGAAAGCAGCTCTCCCGTTTTCTTGAACCACTGTCCCTCGATGTTTCCAGTCACAGAAAATGCCCAGCAAGAGCCGCACATGCCCTGCAACCGACAGTCAATTAAAACAATTATAATAAACCTCTTTATTCAAGTTTAACTCTGCAGACATACAAAGCATTCATATTTCGCTGATTTACTCACCATTCATCATTTTAATCTTAATTCAATGACCCCTTATCCTATTGTCAAGCACTCTGAGTGTACTGTAGCATCTAAAAGCGCTATATTAAAAATCAATGCTTCATTCAATTATATCTACTGATTAATTCTAAACGGTGGATGGGAGTTAATCTGGCAGTCATACCTGGTTCTTCACAGAACTGACCGCCCCGTGGTCCCTCCAGTCCCAGCTGTCAGGAGCTGCCTTGCTGGACGGGGTCGCTGGCTTCATCTCCTTCTTCAAACTCCACTGACTCAGCATTGGGTTCAGGTACATCATTCTAAACTCATCCTCTACACACATCGATATGATTAGTACATTATAGAGAGATTTGCAAATGTGTGTTTTTGGGACAACAGGAATGCACATCTGAATTATAATTTTTGTATTATTATGATTTTGGCCTTGTCACTCTAAAATCGGCCACTCCTCACTAATTGGTATTTTCCTGAGCAATAAATGATCATCTAAAAATCCATAAACATACATACCCGTGAGGTCACTGAACTTGGTGACCCCGTACTCAGCTGACCCCTGTTCCAGGGATTGCAGTGTTTGTGCCGTTTTCATATTCTCCTGGAAAATGCGCAAACGCTTCTCTGCCTCTGTGGAGTTTAGTGGATCAGTGGTTAACCAAGGGCTTTTAATTGTGTATGTGCAATACAAATAGACATTAACTGACATACTAGTATAGAAAACGTATCCGTTTACATTATGGCTATCCATGTGATAGATATTATACATTAATATAACTACAAATCACTTTAATATTACTATCTATGAGTATCTATTTCACTGTAAAATGTACAGGTGTGACACATTTATTGTAATCTATAGCACACTACCGTTTGGGGTTGTTAAGATATGTTAATGTTTTTGAAAGTCTCTTCCACACCAAGACTGCATTTATGTGATCAAATATACAGTAAAAACATTAATATTATGAAATATTGTCACAACTTAATATAATTTTCTGTTGTAATATATTTAAATGTAATTTATTCCTGTGATCAAAGCTGAATTTTCAGAATCGCTTTCTTCAGTGTCACATGATCCTTCAGAAATCATTCTCATATGATGATTTGCTGCTCAAGAAATATTTGTTATTAACAATGTTGAAAACAGTTGTGCTGCTTCATATTTTTGTGTAAACCGTGACACATTTTTCAGGATTTTTTGATGAATAGAAAGTTCGGAAGAACAGCATTTATTTGAAATAGAAATGTTTTGTAATATTATACATGTCTACTGTCACTTTTGATCAATTCAATGCATCCTTGCTGAATGAAAAAATTAATTTCTTTAAAAAAAAATCCTGCTGACCCCTAACTTTTGAATGGTAGTGTATATTTGTGTCTTACCTTCTTGGGAGCTGTATGTTCGGTTGTATGTGACTATAAAGTTTTTAAACTGGGTCAAAAGCTCCACAGTTTCCTGAAAAAAGCAAACAAAACAACAAAGCAATCCATCATGAAAAGCTCACAAATGTTTTAATTAACTGTTATTGTAACTGCGAATATTTGATGACATATTTTAAGTGTACATTGCATTACCTTCATGGGTTTGCCATGGGTTAGGGGTACAGATGCAACCTTATTGAGCTCCTTGGAAACTAAGACATACACAATATCAAGGTAACTACAAATGCATGTTGGGTAGAAAACCATTAAAAGTGGATTTATGATAAAAATCACTTTAAATCCTGTCTTAAAACATAATAATGAGAATGCATGTCTGTTTTACACCACAGCAGTATATTATGTGATGAAGATGATTTGGACAGATCTGCCATCTGTCCCAGGCTACTGACCCGCAGGCTCGCATTTCTGTTTAAGCAGGGTGGATTTACTTTCCCAGGGAATGTCCCAAACCTCAAACAAACAAACCTCCGTCTGTGGAGAGACAGAGAATGGGTGTGATTTAGGAGAGAGAATGTGCATTGTAAATTTACAATGGGCAAGTTCAACTTCTGCCAAAGTGGTGCTGTTTTGCTAATTGTTTTAGTATTTAAATGAACAAAAGCATGGGGTTATCATACTGGAATTGTGCTACTGAATCGAATTGTAGGCTACATATTGTACATTAAATCAAAATCACATGTATGCTAATAATGAAGCCAAAAAAAATCCCAGCTTAAATGGATCATGCAGTGCATTTTGACCATTTAGAGTTAGCCATTACAGACTCTGAGTACCGGTAGTGACGTTTTATATGGATTAAGAATTAGTGTTTGCTCACCTTCTGTTTGTGGGGCTCTGGGAAAAATTCACAGGTGTCCACAGCGCTCAGCTCTAGGGATTTCTTACACTGGGTGCTTCCAATCTCTACCATAATACTGTACCGAATACCTTTCACCAGCTGTGGAAGACGGAACAGAAATTAAAGACACAAATCACTCTTTTTGAATAAGGGAATAACTATGGCTCTGTCATATCAAACTTCTATAAAGAAATCTTGATAACACTTCTGATTTGTTAACATTAACTAACAATGTGCAATATATTTTTACAGCAACTTTTGTTATTGTTAGTTAATACAAATGTTCATGATAGTTTACAGTGTAGGCTATTAACTAATGTTAACAGATACAATGTATGATGATAAAAATGTAGAAGTAAATGTTGAGATTAACATTAACTAAGATACATAAATGCATAAGTAGGCCTATTGGTCATTATTTTGTTCATGTTAATGCATTTAAGTGTTGACTAAATCTTAGTTGGTTACATATTTCCAATAAAGATTTATATATTTACTTGATAATGACTACATTTTAATAATAATTTAACTAAATACATAGTAACACACAACAATTATATCACACACTGCAAGAATCTGTGGCATTTATACAACAGTGGGCTTTAAACGACCTTTAAATATACCGTCCTACAAACATTGGTAAATGTTCATAAGTGCGCAGCTTTCCTTTTATCTACTGTAATAAACTGCTGCGCAAAAGCCGCGCAGTGTTGTGCTGCTTAAATCCGCTCAACACTGTTATGTATGAGGCCTCTGCGCACGCTCTGCGCTTGTTTACGTCTAATCACATGAATGCGGTAAAAATAACTCCTTATAATAAACTTCATGTCCAGTATCGGAATCGCGAAAATAAATAATTTTCATACTAAATGAAACATAAACCATTATAATAATATAAACAATTATTATATTCTGTCTACAGTTATATTATATGCAGAATTGTATGGTTTTGCATCCGTTAATAACATTGTATATATTAGAAATTTTAACGGATGATTTATAATTTTACCTGTTTGCTGGCCGACAGGATTTTGCTAACACGGCGTATATGCATCGCGTTGGATCCCATATTATATCGTTCCTCGGCAAATTTCACTGCTTTCATAACCCCCGGGTCTGACTCCGACAGACGGACCGGGGATCCCGGAGCTCCGATAACCGGGCGATCTGGGCCATCTTCTATACCCAGAACCAAAGCCACCAGCACGCAGCAGGCGATGACAGGGTAACCGCGGATAAAGGACATGTTGCCGAGCTCTCGGAACAGAAAGCTGCGGCGTATATCAGGTTTTTGTTTTGAGATCGTAAACCCGCAGTGTTTTGTTGCTCCACACGTCAGTTCAGTCTGCCCCGCACAAAGATGGAAGACTGATGATGATGTGATGCCTCTTTGTATCGGGGCGGGGCATGTTTCTTTAAAAGCTGAATGATAATAATAATAATAATAAATTATTTGCTTGTGATTTATAAGAAGAAGACAATTATTGGTAATTAAAAATAAATGAAACATTTATTTATTTTCAAGGTGGTGGGAGGTAATAGTGTTACCAACAAATACTATATTATTTTATTGAATCTATATTTAAATCATGTTTTATCGATAATTAAATTCACATCTCATCAAAAACATTAAATCAGCGCAGTCCCGCTAGACGGCGTAGGATCTCAGGAAATATAAGACATTTTCTTCTTTACTGCCCCTGTTGGTCAATGGATGCATGAATGGGCTCATTAATGGCTGCTTCCACTATCGACAAGAGAAGTTTAACAACAGTAGTTTGTGGAAATGAGTTTAAATATACAGTATTTGTATAGGTAAATAATGAAACAGATGTAACTGCAGTAGCCCATATATCTGATTGCTGTGTTTGTGAATTATACTATTACAACAAGTGTGACATGGACTATCAACCTCGAGGGAGAAGAGGAAGAGGAGGGCGAGGAAACCGAAATGAAGAGGTGGGAAGAGAAACGATCGTATAATGTATTTATAATGTATAATGCACGCGGTCCTCTTACTAGTGTCACACTAACATTTAGTTAAATCTAACAATTTTGTTAAATCTTATCTTGATCAAACAAAAATATTTGGTGTTCAAATGTATAATGTATCAATATGAGGTCATTCAAGCTGCTTTCATAACAAATATATATATATATATATATATATATATATATTAAAAATATATATAAATATGTATGTAGCCTATATATATATATATACACACACACACACACACACACACATATATACACAATATATGGTTAAAGTATATCAGGTCACATCTCAGTGTGAAAAGTAATGACCGTATTTTGTTTCAACTGCCCATTTTCTGTGGTAAAGTTTTAAAAAGGGTCTGTGCACTGTAATAAATTGTTATATTTCTGTTTTGTGTGTATTTCAGAGCAGAGATATGCGCCTGTCTAAATCTCTAACTTATGTATTACGCCATGGTGCCAATAAGATGGGTCTTGAGATGAACTCGGGTGAGAAGTGATATCCACAAACTGTATGATTCATAACACTCCGTCTGCTTACAAAATTGTCATTAAGGTATTGTGTTTGTGTGGAATGAAGTTCTTGTGGAGGATGATTCCTGTTCATATTCGACTAGACAGCAAATTATTCATTCACTTAGCACATGTTTTGGATTAAGTTTTTTTTTTTTTATCATCCCTGTTGTCTGTCTGTAATTCTTATGTGACCTTGTTCGCAGATGGCTTTGTGTTGGTGGAGGAACTTCTCGCTCATCAGCAGTTCCGCTCATTTTCATTGGAGGATGTGGAGCGAGTGGTGGCCACCAATGACAAACAGCGATTCAAGCTTTGCAACCACACTGAGGATGGTCGTCCTGTGATACGAGCCAATCAGGGTCACTCAGTGCAAGTCAGTGTAGTTCAGAATCAGAAGTCACGTAAAGTCTACAGTCTTAATTTAAGATATATAGGTTTAAAGTAGTCTAGTAAGTAGACATCAGAAAATGGGTACACTGGTCACAAAGGGATGGACATGGTCAGCAACAATAAATAACGTTTAAATGATGCACAATTGGTACTAACGGGCCCAAAGTGTTCCAAAAAATATCCCCCCACACCATAGGGTTTATGCCCAACATCACATGGGTGTTCCCAGATGCTCTCCTGCAGACCTCGGTTGTAACGAGTGGTTGTTTGAGTTTCTGTTGCCTTTCTATCAGCTGAACCGGTCTGGTCATTCTCCTCTGACCTCTGGCATCAAACAAGGCATTTTCACCCACAGAACTGCCGCTCTCTGGATATTTTTCCTTTTTCGGACCATTCTCTGTAAACCCTAGAGATTGTCGTGCGTGAAAATCCCAGTGGATCAGCAGTTTCTGAAATACTCAGACCAGTCCGTCTGGCACCAACTGTCATGCCATGTTCAAAGTCACTTAAATCACCTTTCTTCCCCATTCTGATGCTCAGTTTGAACTTCAGCGGATCGTCTTGACCATGTCTACTTGCCTCATTGCATTGAGTTGCTGCCATGGGATTGGCTGATTAGATATTTGCGTTAACGAGCAGTTGAACAGGTGTACCTATTCAGGTGTCTGTATATATAATTTGTGATATACTAATCTAGTTTATACACAAAAAAGTGTCTGTTAAATAAATAAATGGAATGTAAATCTTACAGATTCTTTACATTTAAAAAAACATTATGCAAATTGTGTGATTTATGTATTCGTTTAACTTATCCTAGAATGTGTCTCTTCAAGGTTACAGATCTGGAGTTGAGAAAGGTTGCACTTGATGATCCGGACTATCCAAGAGAAGCTGTTCATGGCTCATACATGACACACTGGCCCTCTATACGCAGTCAGGGCCTCAGCAGGATGAACAGGACTCACATACACCTGGCACCTGGGCTACCTGGAGAGGGCGGAGTCATCAGTGGTGAGTGACATGCAGTGCAGATTCGATTCTTTTCTAGAGATCTATTTTTTCATGTGAGTGTGTGTGTGTGTATTTAGGCATGCATGCATGCACAACAGATTAGGATAGCAGAAAGCACTCCAGACCAGTAGGTGTTTACAGATGCATGCAATTCACCTTATATGTAATTCAGATCATTTACAGTTCAATTACCTCTTTTCTGTTTATAGGTATGAGACAGAGTTGTGATTTGGCTGTGTATATTGATGTTGCGAAAGCTATGTCAGGTATTACGAAATCATTTTTAAAACCAGTATAAAGATAATATACATTTGAGAATTATAGTACAGAAGTCCTAATGATCACTCTTCCCTCTGGTTGGTCTTCAGATGGGATTGAGTTCTTCTGGTCCGAGAACGGTGTGCTGTTGACAACCGGAGATGCTGCTGGGTTTTTAGCACCACGCTATTTCTCTCGAGTACAAAGTCTAAAACCCTCACGTGAGTCACTTTCACAGCCAGATCATAAAGTTACTTAACTCCTAGAGACAGATTCATTTTCTTTCATTGTACTGTAGTTAAATAAAAATGTAGCTTACAATATATGCATTTGATATTTTACAGTGCATATTGGTGATAATTCGATTTTAAAGAGCTGTTTTGTTTTCTTACAGCTTGTGAAATTGAACTACATTAGCTGTGGAGAAGATCTCTGTCTGACTATAAAACCAAAGATTGGAGATGTTCAGTCGACCTATCTAAATAAAAACAACTAAATGTTTTTTTTGCACAATCAGGCTACATTATTTATTATCAGGGTTGAGAAATAAGACTGGATTCTGATTAAATGAACAACACTCACAGATGACTTTGGTGAGGATTCATGGGAAGACATGTACATGTTGGTCTTTTTATTTGTGACTTTAACCTCATGTAAAACTGCTGTGCAATTGAACAATGGTTAGTGAATATGCTCTGTTAGATTGAGTCATGATGTTCATGCAGGAAATTAACAATTAAAGGAATAGTGTTGGTGCAGTGTTAGAATTAATTCTTTGAAATACGCTATTTATGACGTATTTTTAGCCTTTTTTTCTCTCTTTTTTTCAGGTACACAGCCTGTGTCTTGTAATCCCCAAACATGGACAAAATTCAAGCTTTAGAATTTCCTGGACTACATACTGTATCTTTAATATATTATGGAGTCAGCAGCATATCTGATAGGTTGTGTGATGTTTTGCATACATATTGTCAAGTGACATCCTAAGCCTGTTTTATTTGTGGGGCAGTTTCCCCCCACTGCATATTTGTCAAAAAATAGAATATCTAAATACACTGACCTCAAGATAGAGATGTGTCATGTTACTGCAGGGGGATTTCTGCAAGCATATTTATGTACATTGCGCTAGACAGAGACCAATAACAGCCAAAGGTGTTTTTTATTAAATGGTTTTGTGTTGTCTTATTAAAATTACTAGTTTTCTGTGAACTAGAGTCATGCTGGCTTTCAGTTGACTTTTCAGACACAACTACTAGAAATTGCTGCTTAACGAAACTATTTCTATTCTAACCAAGTTTTGTAAAAGCTCACAACCATTCAGTCAAAGATATTGAATGTCAGGTGGCTTCATGAGATGCAAGTCTCTAGCTTTAATTCATGGTCATTGAGAATTGTGTTTTGACTGTCCATCAGCTGATTAAAGACCTATTCTTGGTACTGTCAAGCTGCTGTGCTTTTGGATTACTATCAGTAGTGTTGTGTGAACGCTAAATCCCTGCATTGCAGAAGTCCTCAGCATTCTTTCACTATAAGGTGGTGACTAGTTTGTAACCACAGGAAACAAATATACTTTGATGCTCTGTATACAATAGGCAAAAAAAAAGTGGAAAGGAGAAGATAGCTTATGTCACAAGTTCAAGTGGTCACTAGGTTAAATCACTGATGTTTAATGCATTTTTTTTTTTACTTGTAAATAATTTTGAATTGACAGCATTTTTAAGCTCAAAGCAATTATTTATGCTGCATTTCAATTGTATAAGGCTCTTTAGATGAAAGTGTCTGCTAAACAAATAGATGTAAATGTAAGGAAGAAAGTTCAGTTGGTGTATACTTTGTGAAGTTTCCATTTTGTGTCCTCTGTGTGTCTCTAGGCAGCCTCTCAAAGCAAAGTTTCCCCTAATAGAAGAGGTCTAAAATTAGTGAGCCTCTATGACTTTCTTGGCCTAGTGTATCAGATTCTACACAGACTCTGTCTATTCCATCACAGCACCTGCTCCTAGCTGTAACACCCTATTAAGCTTGGCAGAGACATGCACCTATGTCCAAGCATGATTAAAAAAGCTTCAGGTCAGGTTCGTGTCCATTTTCTGTGCATGCTTGTGTCTCTTTAAAAAAAAAAAAAATGAAAAAAAAAATGGTGTCAATTAAGGTTTGAAATAGCCAGGCTCCGTGAGCTCAGACAGGGCTAACGGTACAGGAGTCGTAGCATTTTTTTGGGCTTAGCTTGAGGGGCTGGACATATCTGTGCACTGAGTGGCCTGTAACGATGAAGTGTCAGTTTGGCACTCGGAAAACTGGATCCCCCTGTTGGAGCCTCATTCACTGCTCATGGTACAGTGCATAACTGTCCCCTGTAGATGTTCTCTGGAGGGGCTGTTCCATTCAAACTTGCCATATGGACAGAAAACATCAGAAAAAGGCAAGTATCATATCTGATGACTTTTATGTGAACTTTGATATCTGCATGTATGTTGTAACATGTTTCACCTTACAAAGTTACTGTACATATTTTTGCATCAGTTTGCATGAGGTATGTTTGTGAGTAGTTAAAAGAGTAATCCTCGAATCTGATTAGTAATACTGTTTACTATTATTAAGCAGACTTTTGTACGTGCAAAGTAACTATAATTTGCTCTCAGAAGATGAACTTGGTATATAAAGCTACAAGAAAACATTTTGTCATGAGAATTATATTCTTTTTACAGTAACAAGTTTTCATGACTGTTTCTTTTGATGTTTCAGGTCTGATATTCAACAACTGCTGAATGACCAGTTCAGGCATTTATAAATGGCTCAAGTGTGACAACCTAATGTCTGTGCTATCTGAAGTGAAGAAATGGAGCGCTGGGTTCTAGAGGGAGACAGCTACTCTTTCCTTCGCAGTGCTCCACAAACGTTCAACCTGCAGAGTCGTGAAGGGCCAAATCGTGTGGAGATTTTTGACATCACTTCAATCCCCAACCATAATGCTATATCTGAAACAACCTGCCTATGTGACATTTTTGGGGATGACGGCGACTCGCCATCACTTTCCAGTAGTCCAGCCTCTGTGACATTTGTCAGAAGAGAAATGGATCAGCCTTTTCCAGCAGATGATGCCAATGACTCTTCAGGATCTTATCACACTGCCAATGGATCTGACTTAAGCGACAACATTGAAGTCACTTTCAACACACCTTCTCCAAAAAATATACTGGATTTTTCCACATGGGAGACCAGGGAATCACATCCACATTCAGATGAATCAAACATCTTATCTGATTCTAAAAATGGACTTAACCCACTTGATTACACACCACCTGCAACCAAAGTGAATGTTAATGACCTTTCACATACTGGGAACATTTGGAAAGAACCTCAAGTGTCAGTGAGCGCTGCCCCAGTGAATGAAAAGCGCTGCCCCAGTGAATGTGCTTCTGAACCACAGGACATGGCTTCAACACCAGCTGTAAATCAAATTATTCCAGAAAAGGATCTTTCTAATCCTACAACTTGCCCTTCAGAGGAGAAAGAACCTGCCACTTTTGAGCAAGAAGAATTTATTACAAAACCTCAACATACAAGTACAAGCCCATTTTTAGATAAACAAGACTGCATACCTATATTTGAGTCTACTAACTGTGAACCATTGGCAGAATCTCCACTTGAACAAAATAATGTGGTGTCTTCTGAGAGCAATGGAAATATGAACTATCATAGTCCACAAGAGGAAAATGTTCTACTTGCACAAAGGATGATTATCAGTGGCTCTGCGTCAGAACTGTCAAACACTTCTCCAACAGACTGCCGTCCTATTCAGGAAATGTCTACTTCACCTGCAAACAGAGATATTAATATCCTACCCATACCCAGTGTCACGCCAGAGCTCAGATTCACCTACATCTCCCCTGTAAGTAGGGAAATTAGCTCCACACCTGGATCCACAGGTAGATCTTCACCTGAGCTGCTGAATTTGTGCTCAACTCTAGTGGGGAACACATCAGAGTTTCCAGACTTGAAGGACACTTATGGTGCATCTTCTTCAGTATCTAAATCTACCATTGATAATGTGGAAATAGATTCCCTATCTGTGTCTGCAATTTCCACTGAAACAAGAGGGCAGGTGTGCTCATCCATAGATGGCAGAGAAAGTCTGGAATCACCTGAGATCAATGAAACCTGCTCTTCTCCTGATCACTCACCAGAACCAGTAATAATTCACTCACATGTGGGTTACACTATCAGCCCTTCACCTACAAATGAGAAAATAATTTCTTCAACTGAACCTGAAGCCTCACCATCCTCCCCTGTAAGTACAAGGATTGACTACAGGGATATCTCCTCATCTCCTGATCACTCAGAACCAGCTAACATTCACTCATCTCTGGGTTACACCATCAGCCCATCACCTACAAATGAGAGAATAATTTCTTTAACTGAACCTGAAGCCTCACCATCCTTCCCTGTAAGCATAAATATTGACTACAGAGATATCTGCTCCTCTCCTGATCACTCAGAATCAGTAAACATTCACTCATCTCTGGGTTACACCATCAGCCCATCACCTACAAATGAGAGAATAATTTCTTCAACTGAACCTGAAGCCTCACCATCCTCCCCTGTAAGTACAAGGATTGACTACAGGGATATCTGCTCCTCTCCTGATCACTCAGAATCAGTAAACATTCACTCATCTCTGGGTTACACCATCAGCCCATCACCTACAAATGAGAGAATAATTTCTTCAACTGAACCTGAAGCCTCACCATCCTTCCCTGTAAGCATAAATATTGACTACAGAGATATCTGCTCCTCTCCTGATCACTCAGAATCAGTAAACATTCACTCTTCTCTGGGTTACACCATCAGTCCATCACCTACAAATGAGAAAGCGGTTTATTCAACTGAAACTGAAGCCTCAATATCTTCCCTCTGCTGTCATGTTGATATCTACTCCTCTTCTGATCACTCCGTTCCAGCTCACTCATCAGAACCGATGGGCTATACCATCAGCCAGTCACCTACAAATGAGAGAATGGTTTATTCAACAGAACCTGATGACCTGCCATCCACCCCTGCCATCACAGAAAATGACTACAGAGCAACACCAACATGCAGTAGAGATTCCACGCCTGTGTTAAGGAGCATTACCTCCACTCCACACAGCAGAGAACACTACCTTACACCAGAGCCCATTTCCCCAACCCCTTCAATAGAATTGAGATCAGTCAGCTGCTCACCTGAAATCAAAACAATATCTTATAGTGTTCTGCCACAAAATACAAAATACCCTGTGATTGGAGGCATCACATATAATGTTTCACCAAATGAAGATTTAGCACAATCACCTGTGGTAGAGCCAACTGTCTTTGGCAACTCTTCTGAAACTTCCAACTCTCTTTTTGAAAATGACACCTCTGTCTCACCTACCTCAAGGAACTTTTTGTCAACACCAGAGAGTAGATCAAGGCCCTCATCAACTGCATTAGACCATACCAGAGATAAAGCATCCCCTGATCTCCAAACTGAGCCTTCCATTCCTCTTGAAAAAGCAGAAAATCTGTCTTTACCCATAATCTTTAAAATAATGAATCCTCAATCTCCTATCCCAATAGACAGTGTTAATTTTAATGATGTTGCTGACACAGAGATCTTCAAAAGCAGTTCATCTGTCCCAGATGAATGTGCAGGCAGTGGACCACAAATTCTTAGCCAAATGCAAATCTTGCAAGATTCACTATCTAAACCTTCAGGTTTTGGATCGTCCACAGTAAAAATGGAGCAAAATCAGGAAATTGTCACTGACAACACAACAGATTTAACTGTCTGTGGAACACCAGCCTCTCTGAGTCCATGGGCCTCATCTGTGCCAATGCCAGTAACATATGTAGAAAAGAAACAATGCAATATTGAGGTTTATGATAGCAAGGGAACAGAAATGTTGGAAAAGGATTGCCAAAGCAGTGACAAGAGCCAAAGCCAAGTGCCTGTAGCATTAAGAGAAAGTCCAGGGGTTATCAGTAGGGACAGTGGTGGTAAATTTGACAGGCAGTCATGCAGGGAAAAGGAGGAGAGTGAAAAGAGGGAGGGAGAGAGGGAGGGAGAGGGGGAGGAGACTATGAGAGATAGTAGTAACAGAGGGCAACAGGTTGAGCTGTCATTCAGTGCCCGGAATAGAAAAGGGCCTGCAGGCCACAGCCCAGCACTCTCAAGTCGAGACCCAAAGTCGG